ATTAAATAAAAATATACATCTAGAACAAGCACCCAAAAACGTAACAAGAGGTCCCACTTCAGTTGCTTTCACGATACAAGTGTAATACAGCTATTAGATTTGAAGTGTCGTTCAGAATGTAATAATAGTTAATACTAGTTTGTATGTTCACACTTTACTATCAAAACCACCATTTCGACCACCCATGTGCCAGTTTTCAGTGTTTGGGCGAGCGGTCAATGTTTTCAATGAGCGAGCGAGAGAAAAAAAAAACGCAATTAAAATGCGGTCGGTTTCCGGTCGGACAAGGCCGCGTGGTCGGAAATTAAGCGATAAGCAGTCGATGTAAAAGCGGAAGGTTGGGCGAAATGAGTACTGTATCACCATGTTTCTTAGACGAAGTCTCGACTGACAATAATGCTGACAATGGACGTTAGATAAACACGCATTGTTTGCAACTGGAAGCTTATCACCCGTTATATCAGAATCAGTATACAGATAAGATGTTATCATTTAATTCCTTCCAAAGATAAACACTATGCAAATATCCACGAAACGGCAGTTGTAGTCTTTTCTGCTAGTGTTTTAAAACACAAATTTGAGCAACGTTATTTCGCAATTTCGATCTTTTGTAAACCTGGGGTGATATATCAAGGTCTAAAGTAACCGTTTTATCAATTATTGAAAAATCGAGAAAAAAATGAAAATTTCCCTTCTCGCTACCTTAAGATGGATTCAGCAACTCTGTATCTGTTCTATTATGTATAGCAACCAATATATTTACTGTGAAATGTTTAGACAGGTTTTACAGTTTAGGGGTTTTTCTAGAAAAAAAACTTTAAGAGGGAGCACTGCAATTCTGGGGCGCCATCAAGTAAGGGAAGATAGGGTTCTCCCTACCAGGGTGTGGCGTTTTTGATAATTCTAAGTTAAAATGGAGCATTCTATGGCTTCCTTGGGGCCAAAATTACTATCAGACAGGTCAAAGTTGACGAATGTGGCCACATGTGATCCCTGGTCAATCAGATATTTTATGGTTGCCAGAGGATCTGCTGCCCAGGGTAAGGGACGCATCGCCATGGCATGAGGCCGCTGTACCCCTGTTCTCTTGTTTACGAAAATCCCTGCAGTTGAAATGCCACTTCGCTCACACCACCAGCCTCATTCCAAACCCCTCCAATTTCAGGTTAACATTGACTTACATCATCATCCAATGGTAACACATTATAACTATTATTGCTGTCAACTAATACTGGAGCTTGCTTCATCGGACAAACTAAAAACATGGCCCTACAAAAAAAATTATTTTCAAGATTACCATATGTACATCATTAGTTGACAATCAAATACAGGTATTACAGGTAGGTGGCAGTCACCCAATAGGGAAATACAACATGTCTCAATTTCATAAAAAACAAAGAATTCAGTCAATTCTAAGTAGACTTGGAAGGAAAGAAACGTCTAATACTGGTACTCACTTATTTCTAGGATTGAATTGTACTTTTAAGACTGGTGATGGAAACCTGTATCTGTGATCACATTCACCTGTTAATACATCCCATATGCATACTATGTTATCCGTGGACGCACTCAACAATTTATGACCAGTTCGACCCCAACTGCAAATAAAGCATGTATAAACTCAATGACTGATAAGCTGGAGTCTCCTATACATTTTCACTGCCTGGTAATCATCAAGGTGAAAACAAAGACCCAAAACCCGCAGAAAACAGTACTTTGGGTGGTTGTTGAGACTCCCCTGAACAGTGTAACAAGATCACCCCTGCATGACCAACATATATAAATTTGGTTGTCCAGAATTACTCAAATTGCGTTACTTTCACCGTCTTTTCGTCCGGTGTTCTACACCAGCTCACGCAGATCCCATAGAAATACAAGGTACAGTGGTGCGCGTCTTAGCAACATGGAATGTCTTGTGACGTAGCTCTGCCCCCCCCCCCCCCAAAGATTAGAATTTTTTTAAGTTATCCTGCAGTATAAAGTTGCAATCTTACTTAGACATCACTCCCAGAACAAGCTGGAAACATAAAATGAGTTGAAATTATGCTATCACAAAATATGATGTATTAAAAGTAAATATCTCTGACTCACTTTTCAGGCTCAGTTTTGAAAATATAATATATACCGTATTACCCAGGGCACGCGCCCCTCCCTGGGCAAGCGCCCACCCCGTTTTCACAAAAGTTAAATGTTGGGGACATCCTTGGTTAAACGCCCAGGGTGATTTTTAGCCAAGAACGGGGTCAACAATAATATTTTATTAGTCAAAAACGAACGCGTTCACTTTATTTAAATAGTGTGTTTGTTATGGTAGTTCTCTTTTTGGAGTGTGTGGTGGTCCTGTTTGTGTTTTTACGTAAAAACTCATTGGAACTTAACGACGTAAGATGAACCACGCAGCATATGGCGCACACGTTCTGCTTTCTCTTCATTCACGATGAATCCAATATTGCAATATTGCAACGATCCATACCTTGGTGAGTGGTTTGAACCGGGGGTTTGAAACACTTAGCATGGTTTCAAAACGTATCATTTCGCCAACTGTGAATCCATAACAGGAGCTAGCACTTTTGAGACATCACGTCGAAAACTTGCTACTTTCTTTCCATCTTTCATCACAGCATGTGGATTATTTTTCTGTCGTTGAAGAAAAAACATTTTGCCGACCTTAAGTCCATTACGATAACCATAATATGGCATGCCTACGATGGGAACTTGTTGCATCATCGTTATTTTTGTAATTTTGTCACGTGTGTGGGTGCGTGAATAAATCATGTTAATGAGGTCGACCAGAGTTTATTTTCAGTCTGTTTTTTATGTATCGCCATTTGGATATGTTTATGTATTCACAATAGTTTGTAAACATTTCACATCAGTAATAAAAG